ATGGGGTGATGCTGGATTAAGATATCTTACTTTGGCTTTATTTGCTGAACAGCACGAAGTCTTGCATCGCGCCGATTACAATCTGTCCTATTGTCATAAATGTCGATGAAATAAATATTGTGTAGCTATTCCAATTCGGCAAGGTGTTTCTACAAAACATGTATTCAAATAATCATACACTTCTTAGACTAAAACCTGTCTGACAAAGAATGTGACGTAACAGTCGTTATATATACTCTCTGGCCTCTTCTTGTGTGTACATGTATTCATGTTTGCAATTTTTTTACTCATGTTTTCTTAGTATTGCTATTCATTTCTCGTTAGTACGATGCCTAATTCATTATTCATCTGTCATTGCCTACACTTCTTCACTGTTACATTTATTTTCAACTACCCTATTCAGTCTACTCCCTTATTTACTTCTTTACATTCCTCTTGTCATTTCTTTTTTATCATCTTATTCATTGTCATATTATCTTTCCTGTTTATTAATTAATTGATACCGCGATAACTCTTTATTCGCCTTCAATTCATTGTATCATAATTTCGTTGGATATAATGATGGTTATCTACTCCTGATTGATTTTGTACTAATCGATAGATATGATCGAGATCTATGAAGTAGCATCAAAATCTCGATGAAGAAAAGGTGAGGAAGTGTGCATATCATTCAACAGTATAGTAAAGCATTAATGTAAAGAATATGAAGCATTGCAAATGTAAACGTACACCTCTATGGCTCTTTTGTGGATTGATAACTGATTCCGTATTGTATATCTTTCAATCAGTCTTCTTGCGATAAAACTTGATGACATGAAAATATTAGAAGAATGATCAGAAAAGACGCGTTTTGGAAAAGATACTTTAAATAAGAATATAAGTGATTGATGAATACAGAGATGGATATTATTAATGGTAATCATTCATTTACTAGCACGTACGAATACATTAAATGACTGATATTACTGTTTGGAAAAAAATCTCTTTCATTGAGCATACGTATTAAATCGAAGTGAATCTAAGAGTATGCAAGAAGAAAAAATGCTAAGTGCTTCTTTCAGAATCAGGGACTAGAGTGCTGTAGTACATCTTATAGTTTCCAAGCAATCATTAGTGATAAGACAACAACTGGTATATGCTAAACTGTTTTGGTATCATTTGATAGGTCTCCGGTAGATCTATCCATTGCTACACAATTAGAAGTGGATCATCATATCTAGAAAAAAACTGTTAATCGATCATTGTTAATAGGTCAGTATATTGTATTAATCACGCTACTATATGAAACATGATGATAGAACAATCTTTCTAACATATTTATAAGTCATTGAGTAGAGGAACGAAAGAGTTAGCATCCAATATAAAAATTGACTAAATACAATAATGAATGAAGGTAAATCGATTTCCATGCAGTTCGTAAGGTATGAAATAGTCTGATTTCTATGAGAATAGCTCTTTGATAGCCAAATTAATACAATAGGAAAAACAAATAGAAGTTTGACCGAGATCTGATTGCACCGCTTGACAACCTTCATCCTCTGAGTTTCTGACTACTATAATTATCATAGTCAATGTAGTGAGTTTAAGAAGCTCAGGTACGGGGAAAATTTCCAGCAGGACACTTATTTATCCAGTTTCTAAAGTATAACATGAAAAATGTTTTAAACAGTTATTCGATTGAACCGTAGGTTCTCAAAAGAGATACTTTTTTCAAAGAATATACTGCAACTAAAGATTAAAATAGTGTTAGATTTTAAATAACTAGTTACAATAAGCGAAAAGTTGTTACAAAGGGATCAGCTACTTAAACATTATCATAGCTTTTTTGAAGAATTAAGGGCTAGTCAAAAACAACATATGAAGCTATTAAATGATTTAAATAGTTAATTTGTTTCCAACAAAATTTCGTATTGCATTTATTCATCTAACTAATAGGTATTATGCTGATACATGGTCATTTTGTTTCAAATCTTGAACAACACGTTTCTATCATCTTTCTAATCTTCAATCTCAAAGATAAAATAATTCAACACTAAAGCGACTATAGTTTTTGATACGTCAAACACTCAGCGATAAGTCAGTAAAGCGCTGGATTTTCGATCAGTCGAACCATTTTTACCAAAGGAGATCAACTTTGATTAAAATAAAACGAATTTTTCCTAGAGATGCCTCAGTCTTGAGTCGTCAGGAGGAGATTTGGAAATCAGTACTTTCGACTAACATTGGTCGAACATCTACACTGAATATGAATTATTGTTCTTCTATGAAAGTTATCTTGTCAATTTTTAGAACGATAGTAATTTCAAGATTGTTATTTCAACATTTGCAAACTGTTTTCAAACATTAAAAAAACTTTTTAATTGAATAAAAACATTTTTCACGTATGCTTAATTATAGAAATAGCTCTGCTTTTAGCCTCAGATGCCAAATAAGGAGCTTATTTGATAAATAATTGATTTATGTGATAAGGTATAAAATCAATATTTAAAAAATAATCAGTCATTCAAGATGTTAATTTCGTTATGGCTATATTTTCGCCAAAATTGCTTATGGATTCCAGTTTTACTTGTTATTTTGCATCAGTTGATGACAAACTTTTTGGAGAAAATAATGAAACCAAAGAAAGTATATTTCAAAGATAAATCACCTTGCTAAGGTAGCTCAATGAAAGAGATGTTTGTAAATCACTTTTTGAAGAATTTTCATGAAAACAATATTAACCTTATCACTTGAAACTGTTATTCTGCTCGGCTTACTTCTAACGGAGCACTCCATATTATGCTTTCGATATGTATCTTGTCTCAAGTACTCGAAACTTCGATGAGTATCGCTGAGTCTAAAAGTACTCGAGAGATCGAAAATGAATATCCGATTGGATACAGCTTTCGAGTGGTCGGAATCCGATGAGTATTGAACGGCTCGAAATCAAAACAGAACGAACAAAAAATATACTTTTGAAATTTTCGTGCGCTCGTCGCACTCATCGTATATTGCGGACTGGAATATCTTCGAATTTTGTTGATGACATCTCAACTCCAAATAGTATTTCTACGCTCCATCGATTTCCAGCGTTTTTCGGCCACAATTGACTCTTGTGGATTCATTTGAGTACCTTGAATGGCTTTTAAGATGTAGGATGTCCGAAAAAAAATCGTTGTCATAATGAATTTAGGAAAAGATAACATACTCTTATGAATATTGAGCTAAACAGAATATTATTTATCCAATGTCATTTTCGATATTATTCCTTAAGGAGCCGCAATATAATTTTTAACGATTAAATAATTAATTGTAAAGAATAATAACCACTTTAGAGGTATATATATTTTCTTAATATTCTAGACTTCATGTGTGATCTAGTGTCTCCTTTCTCAGTTTGATCTTTTCAAAGGATAATTACAGAATACAACAGAGAAATATATACTCCAAGTCGAAATGAAATAAAAAATATTTTGATTTTGGCAGGTCAAGAGCGTCGACTGTTGCTGTCACGTGATATATGGTCAGATGAATATAAAAAAACATCTTACTTAGGGTGTAAAGCAAGTGTGGCTGTGAGTCTTTCCTTCGCCCATCCACACTTCACACCCTAGTATGTCTGTTACATCTTATAATCTCTGTTATTGTATTAATAATAATTGTTGTCATCAAAAACATTCATACCCATCTGATCGATTCAATTTTGTATATCTAAATGCATGATCTCTCCTATTATAAGTGAATTCTATATAAGCAAGCATCTACCAATTAGTCACATATGAAAGAATACGAAATATAGTTTAGAGGCACGCTTATAAGTGGTCAAGAGATCACATATAAAATAGACAACGTGAAATACGAGGAAAAATGACAATCAACAATCATAAGCAGCATTAACGTCGTAAGGGTATATTACAAAGTGTGCCAGTCTCTGACGAAAACAATCAATAACAGTTACAGTCTTGATTTCTCTCTCAAACTGGTCGTTGCTGCTTTCGCACAACTTTCATCTACTCATGGTTTTGTTTATGACCCACAGAAAATAAATTTGAAGGAACGATATTCATCATCAATTGTGATGGTTGTAACTATATTCCTTGACATTTAATTGATAATACTGAGTCATTGCCCATTGATAAACCACATCTGATCTTCATGTAACCGTTTATCAAAATTCAACAAGACAATGTCATATTGACATTAATAATGGGATAAATAAAAGAAAAAGGAGTGTTTCTGTTCGACGATTAGCTGTATTACACCTTGGTGTAATGATCAAATCTTGATAAGTGGGTAAGGTGTTGAGTGATTCTGTCTCGAAAGTTGAACCTCCAATGATACGAACAAGACGCGAACTGTTCTTATGAAATAGTTGCCATTTGGCAACTGCTTCAGGCGTCCATTGAATACTATGCAACCATTGTTTAAATACTTCAATATTAGCCAATCTGAACGAAAAAGTAAAGTTTCACTATTTAGATAAATATTTGGGCAAACTTACGAAGAGCTATTGGCCACAGTTAGCCATGCTGCAGCAGACAAAGATGACACGCATACAAAAAGATCGTTCATCCGAGGATAATATGTGAATGTTTGAAGACACATTTCATCAGTTGTCTTTTGACCACCCTAAAATGCATCGATTTCTTAAGGCAGAACAGACAAAGATCGTGTTTTACTAGTGTGACTTCTTTTTTGTTCATTGTATTGTAGACACATTGAGTTACAAATGCATCACCCTAGAAAAGAAAGCATTTTATTGAAATCAATATTTTCTTTTCATTCTCACTCGATAAAGGGTGATCGGTTTGGGTAAATTATTTAGAAACTGATAATTGAAATTGTAAGATTCGGCATGAAATAAATATTGCACAGCCGTATCATTTCGAATCAATTTTGTCGATACACTTTTACCTGAAAAGTGAAGTATTAAATAAGAGAAATATCTAGTAAAATATGTGACCTTGCAAGTGAGTATGTGGGAAGGCAGAAATGACTGTGATGCCTGATTCTGGAATGTTCTAAAGCAAACAAAAAAGAATAAAGATGTCAAAATTGATTAAAATTATTTGTTGTACTTCAGTAGCTTTAGGTGTACAAAAGGCGTCGACTACAAATTCACTTGCTTGTGGTGGAATAACAATAGCGCCCGGATTTGACTCTGTACCCAATGTTAGATAGCCAACATCGTATTGATGAAGTTCTTCGCCAATATAAAACCGAATACCAGAGCTGTCATGACGGCCTACAAACAATATCGATTGCTCCATGATTCAGTTCATTGCCAGAAAAAGATGATACCCGTTTCTACATGAGCATTGTCAAAATGTATTTGAATCATATAGTATTTAACTGGAAAATCGCCGCCAATAGGATAGCCAACATCTTGCGGATATTCTACTAGCTATATAATAGTGAATAAATATTGTCGAAATTCTTTTCTTTATTCGTCCTGGTAATCTTACATGATCACCGCCGATTGCCCATCCATTGGCCATATTTGACAAACACGAACTGAACTGATTGATATGATCATCACACACACCTTCAGGCAATTTGGAATCGTCAAACTTAGATGCTGCATCACATTCATACGTAGTCATATGATGCACTATATCTTGACTGCTTGGATCGACAAGTATTTTGTACTATCAAAAGATGAGACTACTGAAATATGACATATGGCAATAGAACAACTACTTACACCAATTGCATGTCGTTTTGTTGAAAAACGAGGTGGAATTTTAAATACTTTGCAATAGTAAGTTGTGTCGGTTGATGGAAGTAGATACTAAGACATGAAAATAATTCATTCTACATTAGAGATTTCTTCAATAAAAAAACTGACATTATTTAGACGAAAATCGAACGAATCAAGTCCATTGAATCTGTTTTCTGAAGGTGGATTATCATAGGAGCGGAGTGGAATCATGCGCGTACCTCGTCGATTCTCATGATAGGAAATATCTCCGTTCGATTGACGTTGATCCGGATCAGAAATACCATACGCAAAGATAACAATATTGGTTCCAGTCTGTAATGGAAAAGAATTTTCAGTGATTCTTAGTTATTGAAAAATTTGAAATTCTATTTTAACAAACACCATGATAAATTCACTAGACAAAGTGCACCTTTATTTTATTCTCAATCGATTAATGAGAATCCATTGTACCGGCCGGATACTTGAAATAATTGGTCGTTTTAATGATGACTACGAGAATATCTAAGGAACTAAATTGGACCTTCTGTCAAGATGATTCATGACTAATAGCAGAACGACTTGCAATGGTAAATAAACAATAGCAAATGTTTTTTTATTTAGAAAAGAATTATCGACAGGAGGAGAAAGTTTCAACTCGTCACGTGACGAGTTGAACAAACATAAAAAATCAGACCTTTCGTAACACCAAAAATAGGGATATCCAAAAATACAGGGATGTCGTAACAAAATTTACAGGGCGATCGTAACGATTAACACAGGAAATTCGTAACAGTTGCAGGGCCTTCGCAACGAAGCAACAGGGCTTTCGTAATGAGGATAAGGGTGATAGCTGGACTTAGTTTCCAGAAATTACATGCTTTTCGTTACGAAAGCCCTGCAATGGTACATATCAAAACATGCATTACGATCGCCCTGTAAAATTTGTTACGAAACCCCTGATTTTTTGTTACGAAAGCCCTGATTCTGTCGTTGCGAAAGCTCTGTTACGGGCTTTCGTATTGTCAATTCGTTACGAAAGCCAGAAAACAAAAATCGTGACGAGTTGAAATTTTCCCGACAGGAGACTACTCAATAGCTTGAAAAATAGAAAAGATGCTATGACTTTCATGATTTTTACATCAAAAGCACGAAAAATTACACTACATGTGATGAAACAAACATAAAAATGAATGTATTTCATTTTCATTAATTAAAACGAACAATTTCATCAAATTGATTATATGACTTGAATTAAAAATCAAATATTTTATATTTGCTTGATTAAAATGTTCGTTTTAACCAATTCAATTCAAATAAATTCCTTTTAATGTATATTTCATCATCGTAACTGTCGTTTTTTTTTGTATTTTTTCACTGTCGGATTATAAGCTTGTTAGCATAATATAAGTATTCCAACAACAATATTCAAAAGAACTATAAGTGTTCGAGGTTTTGAAAAATATTCATGATTGGTGAAAATATTTGGTCAAGGGCTTTCATCAAGTTTGCTTCAAAACACTAGTAAGCTGTTGTTGAGTTCTGATGAAATAAAAATTGGACTCAGAAGCTTTCTATTGGTGATCATACTCAAAAACCTCAAATCAATTTATTATCCTAGTTTTAACAGTTCAGCTTGCTTGTTGATATGCTTATTTTATACCTTGATTGACACATCCATATCATCACATGTTTCGAGCAAACGTTTGAATTGAATAGCTGTCCATCCATTTTCTTCACGACCTCGGAGACCAATCCAATCAGTTGATGTACTATCTATGCTTGGTTTCGAGAAATTACGTGCATATCGATCCTACAAGAAAAAGACTTCAATGTAATATAAATAGACTTAAAATATAAAATGTGATAGAGCCACTGTCACCACGATAGAGTAACTTCACTACGTCTATTACATTACGTTAAACGAATCAAAAATCAGCACCTCGTAAAACCTTGTCAGCCGTTACCAAGCATAATAAATATATATCTACCACAATATACGTGCAGTGATTTAGTCCATTGGTCTCACAATTTACTTCAGGACTAATTACAAAGCGTATTTTACAAAAGCATTCATGTATCTATCACGACAAGATTTATTCTTACTTGGAAATGAAGAGTTCCTGCTCTGTCGACCCATCCAACGCCAATGTCGGAGCCCGTCATTCCACCAGCTAATTAATAAGCGAAAATTCGAAGAGACTAATCCTTAATTTGAATTATATTCTACCTGGACTGATACCCAAAGCGATCCAGCCTGTTGTCTTGACATGCATTTCAAAGAGAATTTCTCGTTCGGCATCGTCGATTGTCCACCAAAGATCGGCAACATTCGCTTGAAGTTCAGTCGAATGCTTGTATGTAGTAAATGGTGGAATAGGACTTGAGATTCCTTTCGATTTCTCAACTGTCAGCAACCAGAACAATGCTTGAAAGATAGCATATAAATGCATCATCTAAACAAAAAATAATAGCAATCAATATATGATACTTAATCGACAATAACCAATCGTGAACTTAATCGGTGTTTTTCTCTTATGTTAAATATGCTTTTTGGTGAAATCAAAAGTATGCCTAGATAAGACAACGCAGCTTATACTGTGATATTTGTTTTGAGATAAAGACTAAGGCAGGAGTTATGTGACTGTTGTTTTCATTGCATACGATCTGTTGCGAGCACTGATAACACAAGATCCTTTGAGTCATTGCAATCAAAAAGCATTGTATTTGAAAGCTTGAAGCATGTATTGCCACTACTTCAAACAAAAGGTAAATAGTTGGATAAATAGTAAAGAACGACAAAAGTATTACGCCGTTTCGATTATCGCATCAACTTTTTTTTCTCCTCGTGCAAGCGCACAGTTGCCCTTTGATCTAGGAATGCATAGTGAGGGTGTGGGTGTGGGTGTCAGTGTGCGGGTGGTATGGGTGCGAGTGTGTAGGTGGTATGGGTGCGAGTGTGTGGGTGGTGTGGATGTGTGCGAGTGTGTGGGTGGTGTGGGTGTGGGTGGTTGTGGGTGTCGGTGTGTGGGTGGTATGAGTGTGGGTGGGTGTGGCTGTGGGTGTAGGTGATGTGGGTGTGGGTGTAGGTGTAGGTGCTGTGGGGTGGGTGTAGATGGTGTGAGTGTGTGGAGCTGGGTGTGCGTGTGCGGTTGGTGGTGTGGCCGTGAGTAAGCATGACATGAATGTTGGTATGCATGTCGTTTGTCACTTTTCTTGCTCCACTAGCAGCCACCCACACTCAAAGCTTCACTGAAAGTCGGGTTTTACGATATGCTTTGCTCGATTATGGGCATTTCCTGCCAGGAATGAGAAAATTCGGCCATTGGATTCAGACATTTTACTGCTACTTCGAAGTTTCTTCCATTTTTTGAAACCTTCCCAGCAGAATCAGCTACGTCTAATTCATCTTGGAAGTATATTTTTTTCTCTAGACTCGATTTCTCAGAAGATAATTGGCATTTGAAGGTAATAAGCTTAAATGAACATAAAGTAAAACGAAAAGATGTTGCTTTTGGCGATGTCTGATGCTCAGAATTCATTCGTTTATTTATTTACTGACAGTTTCTTTTGTATTCATACAGAAGAGAAAACATTTTATTCCTAGTTGATTGATAAATACAAGAGGTTTGCCTAATAATGAAACTGTTCCTTTTTTCTTTCCTCTCGTCGTATTTTCCTTGATTAGAAATACAATAAATAATGTATGTAAGTTAAATGACTTCTTAGAAGTTTTGGTTTTTTAGCGTATGTAAATATCAATTTTTTTAATCACTATTCTCCATTGCATATTTCTTTGTCCATTCTCTCGCAGTTTCATTGTATCTATCTTGGTCCGTTCGATAGAGTCTCAGTGCGTCTTTATTAAGTCCATGTTCTGAGTTTGGATCTGTTAACAATGAACATAATGATATCAAAAGACCACGTATAGTTAATGCAGGAGACCATTGTGAATGAAGTATGTCCAAACAGATATCGCCTTTTACACTGATATTTGGATGAAAGACTGGTGTGATAAAATGAATCACAGGTGGTTTGAATGGAAAGTCTGCAGGAAAGTCGATAATCAAGCGAAATTTGCCACCAGCATATGGGGTGTCTTGTGGTCCTTCGATCCAACCAATCCAATGAATCATGCTTTTACCGGGATCTTCAGGTTCTGCATAACATAATGGAGGTGGATTCGTTTGTATATCACGAAAATGAATCGCAAGACGTTGAGTGAAAGCCATGATGATTGAAAAAGAATAATCTGCAATAAAAAAATGAAGCTAACTGTTCTCTTTAACATAGTACGACAAAAGGGAGCGAACGACAAAGATCTTATCTTTGCTCAAACACGGTTAGTCCACCCATTCACATCTGCTACTTCTGTTGACCTATAACAATTGTTAATATAGTTTCAATAGCTCTGCGGTTCTCTCTGCAACAAAGCGTGTGAGTGAATGCTTGAAGATAAGAGTCTTTCTAGTATATGTCATTTGTTTTTCTTTTATTTTTTCAAAGGCCGACGAAAAGTCATCCACAGAGCATAGTGACGACACCAATAGTAGAAATATGCCAAGCTGAAAAGGAGAATTGATATTATAACCTTTTCCATGATGCTTCACAACAAAGTCTTTTGTCTTCATCAGTAATTGAAAACATCATAAGCTTCTTCGACACGCAGTTTATCAAATCAAAAATGTTGTGCCCCTATTAACTGTATCAGTAACTCCTGAATAAAATTTTATTTTAACAAAGTTTTTACACTTTAGATGACGACCATTCACCTTTTAAATATCGACAAGAAGTAATAAATAATATTTTGTGCACATTACGGCTGAGAGTTTCAATACAAAATTTCTATGGAAGATTGGAATTTCGTTCAGAAACCTTGTTTCTTTGAAAAAGCTACAGCGCCATTGATGTAATTGCGACGATAAATATCCTCACCGTCGATGTGCACGAGAGCAACGCAAATATTTAAATGCATTCATACAACGATTCAATGAGTTGGCAATTATTTAAGCGAGTAAGAATGACTCTCCCCAATTCTATCACTGACATGACTCATTTTTTATGTTGCTCATGGACGAAGAAAAAAGGAAGAGAGCAATAGTGCCTTTGTAAACATGACCTTGCTTCTTTCCTTTCTATGAGTAACGACATCAAACACGTCATTTCTAATCATCGATACCTGCCATGAAGGACATAGCAGAGAACAGAATGAGAAGAAATAGGGTGTAGATAGAGGTGTGGGAATGAGTGTCCGTGTGAACGAACGTATGAATCAAGAAAACACACCCACTCGCATCCGCCTACACCTACATCTACATTCAAGCCACACCCACCCTCCACCTACATCCATGCTCATCCACATTTACACCCATCACACCCATCCACACCCAGATCCACGATCACACCCATCCACATCCAGATCCACGATCACACCCATTCACATCCAGATCCACGGTCACACCCATCCACATCCAGATCCACGATCACACCCATTCACATCCAGATCCACGGTCACACCCATCCACACCCTTTATACAGTATTTGGTTAATCTTAAACAAATGAGATTCACGAAAATACTGAATAAGAAAAATTTAAATTGTAAATAAACAAATAAACACTTATTTATTTTGTTTTATATTCTATTCTTAATAATAGTGAGTATTCGTATCTAGTGACTATTAATTTGATCGACTAGCAGTTGTTAGGAAGACATTTAGGGATGCTCAAAAGATCTTGCGACCAGAAACTTCTATTCATGAAAAGTCATTTCGTGTATCTATCTACATCAAACGTTCGAGGCAGTTGCCACGATGTTTGATGCAAAATTTTGTTTTTCAACCAAGTCTCAAGATATCTTCCAATGTCTAACGCAAGATATGGAACAAACATTTCTGGTCTTTGCTATGATTATACTCGTTCATAACGCTCTGAAAAATGTGTACACGTTCAATAGTTGTGTACTTCTCAATTTTGATATTATTACTGTCTATAGAGCGTGTATTTTCCATCTGCATAGTGAACAAAAATCTTATGCAAAGTCACCAAAATTAGAATAAAAAACTCATCCAAGTGTTGTTCCCACATATCAACATAAAAACCATTAATATTTACCGTCTATGCTGCCAAAGCTAAACTGCTGCCACTATATAGCGTCGTCTACAGCACCAAATTTTGTTAGCTATACTTCTACTGAACGCTTGAAACCATAAACGCATAAGGATTCAAAAAAAATGAATATCTTTGTCAATAGGTTGAATGAAGTTTCATAATAGCAGCGCGAGCGGCAAACGAAAGATATGGTTATCAGATACCATAAAGCAAAAAAAATTATATTTTAGATTAATCTATCTAACTCATCTGGCGGCGACCACGCGTGGGTATGAGTATGTGCGATAGCAAGGATCTGCTCTTCATTCTTTCTACTCACACCTAAAGTGATACCGCTCAGATCTACATCTTTACTTTTTGCGGTGAATGAAGAATTTTTCAAATTATCTAGCGCTGTCTAGGTAACAGAGTTCAGAATTATACAGTTCACTTTCTCAAGTGATGGCATCAGTTTTTTTTATCCTCATCGATAATAACCAAAATTTAAAAAGGGTTAAGGATCCTATGGCAAAGGTTGAATTAACTCGATGGCTTATTCAATGAGTAACCCTTTCTATTGCAAAAGAAATCTCTGTCATCTTCGACAGTGAAAAAGATTGAGAAACTTTGTGACCTGAAAATATATCTTTTAAGTTCAATTATAAATTCATGAACTTGTTTCGAAGTTTGACTTTTATGTAAAAATTGGTCGAAAGTGGTAAATTGTTTTTGCAGAGATATTTCCATTACGTCTACTTGATATCAACTGTCTCAGAATGCTAATATGTTGACCCACACCTTTCTGAACTTTTGGAAAATACTACCTCTTGTTCTGACATTTTGCGTTGCTGTTGACCATATTCTTTACTTCTCGAAAATTTCCCATATGAATACAATCGAATAAAAATATCTCCTTCAACCTCAAAATTTCTATCCTACAATATTACACGTAAATAATAATAATACTTTTTTTCCACTAAGGCATACTTAAAACGTGAATGAAGCGTTCTTCCGACCTGTGGTTTGTATTTCAAGATTTTTTCATCAGAATAAACCTCTGTGAAATATCTCTTAAATACAATATATGCATTCTTGCAATTGGCAAAACATGCAATTTTGCGAAAACGGCAAGCATATCAAATATTAAATATCGACAATAATTTAATACATATATCAAACTGTCTATCTACTATAACTTCACTCATCTAAAATAGCTGAAAATCTTTAATATTCATTCTGTATCGCTACAATCAAATGTCTCTCTTTTTTTTTATTTCATAAAGAATCGAATTATATGAGAGAAATTCAAGATGAAAAAGACTGTAGATTGATTGTGACATAGCAATGATTTCTTTGTGCATAAGT